GAGGATGCTAGAAATTTTCGTGTAACTCTACAGGTGTTTAGTATAGCGGCTTTTTGTAAAGTGTAAATTATATATACTGGAATATTTATTATTTTTAGACTTTTTGTAATGATTTAGGTACTACACCAGTGGATGACACTACAAATGGTAAAATATGCACAGTTTGGGCTTGCCATTGGGTCTTAATTTCTATAGCAAGGTCTTCATATATCGACAGTTTCTCAGACACAGTGGCCTGAATATTGTGTGTGTTAGGAATGGCTATATTAATTAGGAATATAGTTTTATTTTTCTTGTCATAAAAGGTAATGTCTGGTCTATTATACATTTTTGTTTATTATTATTGATGTAAATTTTGACATTAATAAAACACGAAGGTATAAAAAACTCAAGATGTGGGTTATCAATAAAAAGTAAGAAAGAATTTAGTAGATGGTGTGTAAGGAAATCAAGATGTGTACATACATATACATATATAGTAACGATAGGTTTAATTTTACATCGATAAACGATTGTAAGTAACATACAGTATTTGTCTATTATTGGAAAACCAAATTTAACATTTTGTATATATTATTTACATACAATTTTGATAGTTTTTTTAATTTTATTTAGTTTTCATGAATAATCTCACTTTTATAAGAGCTCGTAGGACGGTAACTGAATCTGCATCTCTTCATTTGCTGAAAAATTAACCTATTATTTAATTTATACCATTTATACAAATACTTCTATACATTTTATTCATACAATAGAATACAAGTTTTACTAGCTGTTGGTAACCAAACCATTGTTTTATTATTAAACCTTTAATGTACACTAAGCTTTGACTCCGCTTAAGTATAATTTATTATACTCTACGTGAGATATATAATATTTAAAAAATATTACTTAATGCCTTAGCATTATTTTCTATATTTTCTTTCAATGTTTCACTCGAGTATTGTTAAAATAACATTAATGTTGAAATATTGTTCCTTAGGGACACAATACCGTAATACCAGGGCATGATCTATCTGTATTCCAAGTTTTATCAATATTTGTTCATAAGTTTAGTAGGTGTGACTCTCAATGTTTTATATGCATAAAATATACAATATTTTATTCTAAAAATAATAGTTCTATGGTTGTCATAGATCCTTTGCGCAGAAAAAATTAATTACAACATAAAAATAAACAGAATGATGAATAAGTGCATCGGGATCAAATTGCTACCACCACTCGATGTTGTACATCATGTTGATATTCCACTGAGTTGCTAAGAAGTTAGATACATATATATATATATATATATATATATATATATATATATATATATATATATATAGGTTGTCTCAGATATGTAAGTTTCTTAACAATGTTTTCCTTGATCTTTACCTTTAACTACTTTATATTTAGAGAACGGTTTACTATAATTTGGTCTCTGAGCTAAACTTTAAAACGTAACTACGTACGAACCCGAGCGGATCAAGATTGAGTCGCTAGTTATTACTAAAACATAAATAAAGTAATTTAAAATTACCATACACATAGTTATGTTAGCCTTGTATTTTATTTATGCACTCCATTCCTATAGAGAGCTTTACGTGATCAGTTCGTAACGTAATTGGAGAGTATTACAAACATTCGAAGGCGATTAATATAACTTAAATCTATACTAATATTATAAAGAGGCAAAGTTTGTTTGTTTATTTGTTTGTTTGAAAGCGCTAAATATTTTTTAAGTTACGTAATTAAAATATGGTTGTATAACTAAGTTAAAAAAATAATAATTTTTAGAATTTTATTATATGTATAGATAAAATAAAATTGTAACTAAGTCGAATCTGTACTTAAAATATTTTTTGGAAAATCTTATTGAAATAGACATTATTATCGATACAGAGTCCGAATCTATAGTTTTTAGAATTTTGTCTGTTTGTCTGTCTGTTACCGTATCACGAAAAAACCACTGGACAGATTTTGATAAAATTTGGTATGATCATAGCTGGTTATCCGAGTCAACATATAGGATACTTTTTACCGCGGGAAAATATCTCATTTCTGAGAAAAAATACAAAAACTGCATTGTAAGAGTATACTAATATGTAAAACCTAAGAATTTGGTTTTTGGTCATCTGAAAACGGGAGGAGCCGCGGGCAATGCTAGTATCCTATAAAAACACTCCAATAAAATCAACGTAATGGATAAAAACAAAATTACGATGTCTACGTACAAAATAAAAGAGTTTTCATAAATTGGCAAAAGCTTGACATAGAATCACTCACAAAAGACGGTAAACAAATTTTACTTATTTACAAAGGCATAGGGGTTTATTGTATTCGAAGTTATGAATTCTGCTCAAAGCTTAATAATTAAAAAGCAAATATGAATTTTACTATGAATTTTCAGCATTAAAGTAAATGACATTTGTACATGAATATATTTATTGAGTAAATAATAATAATAAATGACATATGTACATATTATAAATATAAACCCATGACTGGAATATAAACATTCGTGCTCATCACACAAACGAATGCCTCCAGCGGGACTCAAACCCGCGATCGCTGGTTTTGGACACTGAGGCAAACGTGTCGTCATAGTAGAAGTGTGTATGCGATTTAATAAACTGTTTATATTTGCAGCAGACCATACATTTTTTATTAGAATATTTATATTAAATATACCATAATTATGAAAACAGCTAAAATTATTAAATTAATTATTAATTATTTTCTTTCAACATGACTTAATTAACGCAAAAAAAATTGGTGAAAGGTAATTGTGCAAATGCAACGTGCAGTGCTCGATCAATATGTCGCTAATGAATACGTGACGAGCTGTACTACTCCCAACACGCATGAATATGACACACGATTAATCCGTTTATCACTGCGATGATTTTTGACAATACAAATTCTGTATGAAAAACTTCATTTGGCTCTATTGAAAATAAATTGGTCAAATTTAATTGAATATATTTAAATTTATTGTATTTATTTGCTACTATTAGTTGCAAGTCGAAAGCTCGGTTTAAATTCAGAAGCAAAATTTATATAATCCTATAATGATTACCTGTTAAGAATTTAAAATAAACACCTAAAACTGGGATAAGCTGTTATTTCTGTTTTATTGCTTTTAAAGGTATTCTTGTATTTGAATGATATTTTAAACTCTTAAGTTTATTAAGTTAGTTTAACGTTATTTACGAAATAAACATTTTTCATTTTTGTTAATAGCTTTATACTTTTACATTTATCCACAAACGAAACTTTAGTGAAATCTCAATAGTTCAATATTAGTCAATCAAATTAAAAATGCGATAGTTAAGTGTTTGTTATTTCTTCATGCTATAACGTAAATGGGTTTGAGAAAAATCCTAAGCGAGTATAGCTTGTATCCTGGACAACACATAGCCTACTTTTTATAGATATATACATATTTATTACCAAGCACGTGGAGCCACGGACAAAGCCTACATAATTCATTGATACAAAGACTCTTTCATAAAGGCTGCTTAATTATAGAAATTAGAAAACAAATTTTACAAAATGCTTCATTCAGACTTTTATTATCCTCGCGTAGCTTTACACCTTCAGTAACTTTAAACATCTTCTGTGCCCCTTAAAAAATGGACTAATCCACTCTTAGTCCATTTATCATGTAACGTAACTATATTAAAACTACATCGATCCATTGCTCTTTTGCCGTGAGGAAAAAGAATAAGCCAAGAAATAAAGTTATTAGTATTGATATATTTTTATATGTGAGAATATTCTATTTAAAATATAATCATTCAAAATCTGACAATTTATCATAATAATATTTTTAAAAAACCTAAGTAAGATCCTAATTTATTGTTAAAATGAACGTTATTCATTCTTAAACACGTAATACGGACACAATAACTATAAAAAAAATATATGTTAGGTAGTTACACGTTTTATTAAGTTCGATAATGTTTATTTTAGCATAAAACATTATGAATTTAAATGAAAACTCGCTGAGTTTAAATATTCTTTTAATTTACTAATGCAAATGCTTTTATCCTTTGTTCTCGCAACAACATTGTAGATTCCATATGAAATCGCACAGTGCGAATATAATCTTATTTCACGAACCAGTTAGCAACCAGCGGACATGTTCTTATTACATATCATATAGTTTCAACTCAATTCAAAGTTGATAAAATGAAAACCCGTTATATCTATAGACTTTACTTATTCTGATGAGAACGGACTAGTTTTGTTAGAGTTAACTTGATATTGTAAATTACATAGCAGACATAACGTTTAAGTTTTTGCAAATAATATTGTAAGTTATCACTGAATTTAGAATATAAGATATTTTAACGAAGCCAAATAATACAGTATATCTAGAGCAGTATCCACTCTGCGTCATTTGTCTGACCGTATCTGATTGGTTTATTAATTGACTAGAAATCCAGATAAAGGCTATTTTTACTCGATAGTAAAGTCTTTGAGAAACTAAATATGTAGGTACATGTATTGTTAGAACAGCATCAGCACTTATAAATTAATTTAAATAAAACAATCCTATTTTTGACACTTATCTTTTTAAGCGACTTCCAAATAGGAGGAGGTTCTCAATTTGTCGGAAACTTTTTAGTAGTTAAAAATTGTCTTAGAACTAATATAATTGTCTAATTCTCTAAATGGCGTTATGGGCTTAAAAAAGTTGATCGAAACAACTTTTTTGTATATCTTTGTACTACTTAATATACTGACTCAATCATTTCAATTATCAGCCTTAAGGTGTAAACACTCAGATCCTTTGAGTCAAAGCATTGAGATGAAAAAATGTGTAATAATAGTTTCCACCTAATGGAAATTCGTTGTACAAAATTTATAAAAGAAAACACAAATTCCAAAGGCAAATTTATTCATGGTCCAACGTATGAATGAACGGACCCATTCAATGTAAAATACCGCATTTACACTCACTTATGGTACAATATTTACAGACATACTAGATTGAACACTGGGGGCAGTTAACTGTTAGCAAGGAAAGCGAACGTAGACAGTGTGAAGGCGAGTCGAGGAGCTAGCGCCCGCCCAGCGCTCGCGCCGGCCGCAGCCCGCGCCCTAGCGCTCCCGCCGCCCTCACCCTTGCACGCCGCGCCCGCTGCACTCGCCAAGCTACGCCCGCGAACTTTAAGCGGAGATATACATAAATTCTCATCTGCAAAATCTGGCATAAGGGCCAATGGATTCGTTAGAGGATCACGACCACACTCGCATGGCAAATGGTTCCCCCGTATAACAATGTTCTCTACCTCCAGCACCACTGCTTCGGGGGTTTCCAGCATATGATTACCAGTCAGTTTAAAAGTATGGACGCTGTTATTTTGTATTAATGAAAGCTCCTCGATTCCATCAATTTTGTTGTTACACATTTCCAGTGTTTCGACCCGGCGTAAGCCATCGAAAGCACCGACTTTTATTATACCTAAGTCAGATTCTCTCAACGCTAGATGACCTATGCGAGTCAATCCAAAGAAAGTATCGGGCAAGAGCGCTGGTAGGTCCATATATGCAAGCTCTAATACTCCAACACCTTCTAATCCTGCGAACGCTTGCGCTTCGATGGATCTTATACCGGACGGAAGTTCAATCTGGGTAACGTCATTTAGTCCAGAGAATGCATGGGATAAAATGCGTTTAATAGGATTGTTTCTTAAAGAAATAAGTTTTATAAAATTGGTTCCAGCAAACGCGTAACTTTCAATCTGGGCGATTCTGTTATGCGTTAGTATAATTGAAGATATATTTTGGAGGGCTGCAAATGCAAATGCGTCGACTGTCGATAAAGGTGTATGTTGTATATATAGCTCATTGAGACGTGGTAAACCTCGGAATGCAAAAGGCCGTATACGTGTGAGGTTACAGGCGTCTAGAGACAATCGGCGAAGTTGACGCAAATGGGCAAAGGCATCCGATCGTAGAACGCGTAAATCCGCACGAGACAATGATAGTTGCGTCACGCTCGGGCTGAGCGCTGATGGAACTCCTCGTAGCGTAGCGCTGTTGCATACTACCTGTGACAAAAAGACGGGTTACAAATTACTAAAAACCAAACTGGTACAATCGATTAATAATAAGCAAGAAGAAGATTTGACGCGTATTTCGCCGAGAACAATGAAAGTAATTTAGCGAATCCTCTTAGGTAAACAATACGGAGGTAATGTAGCGTTCCGATAACCAAAAATTAACCTTCCGTCATAATGGACAAACCATTGAATGTACTATTGTGTATAAATGAATCGGACACTCGATGCCGCGTGACAATCGAGGCATTGGCAGTGTTTTGTCAATAAAATTAATCCTCCCCCAAATATCCCCTTGTCACTCACACTGGCACACCCATATTTTGATTGAATTGTTCCAAACTTAATCTTCACAAATAACCAATATCAATTTCATTTGTGTATAATACTATACAATTTATAACATTATCTGGATCCCGTTCAATTCTATATGCCTCCGACGTATGTTGCGGTTTAATAAATCGGGCCCATAATAAATTAGTTTTGAGAACAAAATGTTATTTTACTATAGCTTAACATAACATAAATTGTCCATTTCAAACACTATTGAAATAATATTACCTACTTGATAACTTATTTGCTTAAAAAATTGAAACTGTGTAAATTATTCGAAAGATTTATGGATTTCTTTGAAAATATTTATCTTATATATAAAATTTCCATGTCACAATGTTTGTTACCGTACGGTACCGTACCGTACAAAACGGCTTTACCGATTTTTACCAAATTTTATATGCGTATTCAGTAGGTCTGAGAATCGGCTACTATCTATTTTCCATACCCCTAAGTGATAAGGATAAGGGTGGTCCTCCTAGACCCCACCCCTAGAACCCGAGCGGAGCGAGGGTGAGTCGCTAGTTTTAATATATAATTTGTTGATTAAAACATTATTTAGAAATCTAAGATTAAAAAAGTATTGATCATAACACAAATAAATCCATTTAAGTAAAATATTTTAGTATCTTGTATCATAAATATTACATAAACATAGCCATTAGGTAGATATATGGACAAAGCTTTGAGGGTTTTGTTAATATTATATGAATACAATAGAATATGGGGCGTCTATTGAAGCATATAAAATACTACGAATACTTATAGCACTAAGGATTAGAATATTAAATTTACAAATATTATGTAAATATAATCTTAGTTATCTCATTCGCTCATATATTTATATGACCTAGGTGCCAACATTCAATTAATTACAAATTGCATTCATCTAATTATTGAAGAATAAATTCTATTGAGTTTCATGATTTCTTAATGTTTATAGAATGAATTCATGATTGCATTCATTCTATAAACATTAAGTTAATGACTAAAAAGTGCTAACAAAAGTCTAGTTGAGTAAAGTTAATCTTGAATTTTTATCAACCCCATCAAATCGATCTATTAATAATATTTTTAAATACATACATACTTAACGATATAACTACCTAATGAATTTTAAATTAACAAAAATATTTTTCTTGATTTTTTTTCTTATTTTACAAATAAAACGATGTTAAAATTGAGAAGCTTGTGTTTTTTTTTAAGTCGGTTATTGATTTAATTAATTTATAACACTAATATGTATATATAAAATATAAATAACTCACAATTTACAAGATTCGCATTAAAATAGAGCCTAGCTAGGACTTTAAATGGATATTATTATTATATTTATTGGGTGTGGTGCCGAGGTCGGCCCTAGCTACGTCGACCAGTTATGGTCCATTGTAGCTCTATTTTTTACTATTAATTTTAAAGAATATTTTAATTTACCATGACTGTATAGTAAGTAACAAATATATTGGCCTTATAATATATTGTATTACCTGTGTGTATAGAAATAAATATATTAATATTATAACCTGTGATTGTGAAAGGCAGATACATTGCGACGGACACGAGGGCACGATAGTCGGAGTCAGCGCCTGGCTGTTTGCTTCGCAGATGATCACCCACGCTAATGCCGTAACCGCCCAACGCACCACAAATCTGTCACATTAAAAATATAAAAAAATGTAACTTATATATACTTCATTAGCTTGCCTTAAAAAAAAATTATTTTGGTTTTCATTTTTTGCTAAACTATTATTTTAGGCAACTATAAATTAAACTTCAGTAAGTGCTTATTTATTCACGTAGAATGGTTTTAATAAAGTTTTAAACGTTAATATTTTTACTTCACTTAAATTTAAAAAGTTTTACAGCTTCATTTCCAGAAAAGTTTGAAGCCCAATTAAATAAGGCAAAGTAGTCACTGGCACGAAATGAGGATAGCGACCGCTATAAAAAATAGCATATGACAGCCTGCTGTTTATTAAGGGTTTTCCTATATATCTAACCTTCTACCGAAATAAAACTGTTGCTATTTTGCCGCTGACTAAAACAAAAATCCACAGAATACTTGTAAATACACGACCGTCGCAGTGTGGCATATGTTTAACTGCTTATAAAGCCGGAAGTCCCAAGTCGATTCCCGCCTATAATTAATACTTAAATTACATGTTTATTTAAAATTCATTTAGATATAGAAAAATGAAAAATAAAACGTGAAAAGAATGTAGAAATTACTATATTTTATGTGTTACCTGACTCTAAATTAAAAGGCTAAAAATATTTGGTTACAGAAAAGCCTAATTTCCAAATAATTATTATTATCAAACGTTACATATCTTACTAGTTTTTAGGATGACATAATTCTATATATTATCTTTATACAACACTTATAACTCGAGTATTACTGGAACGATTTTTATGATCTTTGTTTTGTTGGATTTTTCTTCACCTCGAATTGCAGAATAACTATTAAAACATCGGAAAAATTCACGAAAAAAAAAAGAATCTATTCCATATGTAAGGTTGCATTTTTATATATTGTTTTAATAGAAAATAATATATATGATTAATTTGTAATGATTTATATATAAGGCATTTACTTATGTGACCTTGGTTGATAGGGATGTGTTTAAAAAAAAAAGGCCGCGGTTATTTTTTTCCCGCGCTTTTGCTCAGAGATGTCGGTACCACCCTGTAGGTCACTACGAATTGTTTGTAATACTGAAAATTATGGTTATAAATTATTTAACTCTCTGGCGATTATGAAAGTACTGAATATAAGAATATAAACAAGGAATATCTCGAAGTTTTATTAAGGACCCTACACATACTAAGCGTCAAAGCGTACCTTGGGACGAATCTGAGCGAAGCGAGGGTGAGTCGGTAGTTTAATATAATTTTAATAATTTTTTACCATATTTATTCAGTTATAATAACTAATTGTTATGTCATAAAAGTATACATATTATGTACAATGTACATATTTCACGATAATTCAGCAAGAATTTCTGACTCAATTTTATTCATAATGTTTGCGTAAAATAAATATTATCTATATGCTAGACAAGTGAGTTTTCTTCAATGAAACTTGTGCAACAATTGCAGGAAAGTACGGTTAATTATTATTTTTTGTTTTTTTTAATTCTCAATTCAATAAAAAGTCTAGAAAAGAAAAATGAAGACAAAAACGGCTTTGCATGAAATAAAATCAGTTGAGTAAATGAGATTTTGCAGGTGACTTCAATGCACCCCAGATATTAAAGTCAATATGAAAAGACATTCCCATATTAGAATTTTCATTCCACTATATAAAGAAATCCAATATGATTTGAAATTGTATTCCTTAATACTATTAGCAGTAGTAGTATAGAAAAATTTGTTTTTAGGCTCTTGTAAATTATGAATTTAGCATTTTATATTAAACTAGCATTGCCCGCGGCTCCGCCCGCGTTCAGATGACCAAAAACCAAATTCTTAGGTTTTACATACTCTTACATTGCAGTTTTTGTATTTTTTGCTCAAAAATGAGATATTTTCCCGCGGTAAAAAGTCCTATATATTGACCCGGATAGCCAACTATCACCATACAAAATTTCATCAAAATCCCTCCAGTGGTTTTTCTGTGATGCGGTAACAGACAGACAGACAGACAAAAATTCTATAAACTATAGATTCGGCCTCTGTATCGATAATATATTTATTTCAATAAGATTTTCCAAAAAATATCTAATGTACAGATTCGGCTTAGTTACAATTTTATTATATGTATAGATAGTCATTAACATTGCATTAATTATAATCTTTGTACCCTAAAAGTTCTTACTTTCTAGTGTAAAAGTTCAATTTGATTGAATGAAATTTCATTATCTCTATTTTAAAACCCAGCACTACTTCTCATGGTAAACATTCTAAACTAATTCACTCTGTAGTGCTGTAATAAATACAATGTTTTTCTTCCCGCACCTTATTACCTACAATAAAGTTTAATTTAGACCGTAAACGTCGTTCGATGCTCGTACATACACAATTCAAGAAGGAGGATGTACGTTTTATGTGAGACACTCGTAATACAAACGGTTGTGTAGTCACAGACAAACGGAAAGGTCGGTAACCACAGAACATTTACGTACATTTTTTATTCAAACCATACACGGTCTGTTAAGAAGGAAAGAGCGGCTTATGATAAACCTTTACTACACACAGAGGTGAATTAAACTTTCAACAATTTGGTTTCAGTTAGTACTTGTTCTTTATTGTTATTAGTTTAGTATTATATTTTTTTATATTTTATTAATAAGAATGTTTTGGTTTAAAAATAAGATATCTAGATACCATTATACTTATAAACTTCATACTTTCATATTGTAATTCTATTTTGCGTTTTCTGAGCCAATACAAACACATGTTAACTGCACAGTAGTAATAGAATCAAAGTTATAACTATTTTAATAGAACTAAGAAAATATTTTCATGATATATTACGAATCTGAAAACTTTTACCTGACGCAAAATGTCGATGCCATGGGCGGGCGCAGGCAGGGCGCGACGCCCGCCTTGCGCCCTCACCTACGGACTTCCATTTGATAATCTACGCCGACCTGTGAAAATCATAAAAAATATTTCTATATTTATAATACGAAAATAAACCATGAAGGTTTTCTAAAGAAACATGATATTGATAAGAATTTAATATATCGCTTGAATCTGTTATACCTAATCTAATATAGCAACTGCTACTTGGTAACTTCCTTTAAACAAAATGTAATAACGAATAAAGAATATCTTATTGCAGTCTAATTCAATTACACTTAAAAGGAAATTGAAACTAGAGCGTTATTCTGCCTAGCGTAACACATTTGCTCTGAATCAGAAATTTATTCTTAGATTACTATGATATATATCAGTTCGAAGAATTCAAATTATATTATTAGGTAAAAAGGTTTATGTTAGTTACAATTGAAATATATTTATTGTGAATTGACTTAATTGTTATTTAAGAGATGGCTCTTAAAGCTGGCGAGTGTTTTTTTATCTAAATATTTTGTTTAAATTATTAGATATACCACACACATCGTGTCTTGCAATATACTTCAAATGCTTTTCTTAGTAAAATATACTTACTATGATATAAAATTAAATGAGTGTTTATATTAGGATTATACTGAACTAATATTAATTAAATACAACCGTTTGTGTTTTTAATTTTGAAATTATCTCTTATTATAGTTATTACATTATGTATAAATTCTAGTGAGAAATACCAGAGACAAGCCGGAGAATAACAACCGCGATGGACTATTATAAATATATTTTTCTATAACCAGCACTGTTATAATAATCTTGTAAAAATTGCCATCTTTTCAATAAAGAAAATATTATGTAACCTATAAAAATATTAAAATTGTAACTAAGCCGAATCTGTACATTAAATATTTTTTGGCAAATTTTGTCTGTCTGTCTGTCTGTTACCGCATTACAGAAAAACCACTGGAGGGATTTTGATGAAATTTGGTATGGTAATAGTTGGTTATCTGGGTTAACATATAGAATTCTTTTTACCCTGGGAAAATTTCTCATTTCTGAGAAAAAATACAAAAACTGCAATGTAAGAGTATACTAATATGTAAAACCTAAGAATTTGGTTTTTGGTCATCAGAACGCGGGCGGAGCCGCGGGCAATGCTAGTATGTATTATATAATAATGTGCTCAAACCAAACATTGAAAAATTGTGTTTATGAAAATAATATGAGATCATTTATTGAGGATATTCTGAGAAAAAATGCCTCAAAGAAAATTCCGCCCCCTCTTGTTTAGAAGAGTCTTAGGTTACTAGGAAATATTATTATAATGCTAATATTTTGCTCAATTCATGATAAAAACTATTTTTAGAAACCTTTTTTATACGTAAAGAATGATTTCAATATAAAATGTAGTTTACTTTACTTACTTGGGTATACAGTTCATAACTAAAAAAAAGGTTGAGAAACTGCTGCTTTTTGAAGACGTTAATTTTTTGTAAATACCTTTAAAAAACTTAGCAAGCACATTACGCAATTAAACTGACAAACATAAAAAATAAATTAATATTCTAATATCTAGTATAAAATTCTTAAAAAAACACACACACAAAATAATAACAATACCTAAAATTGTATTATTAACTAGCGACCCATCCTCCCTTCGCACAGGTGCGTCCCTAGGTATGTGCGTTTTAATTTTTTTTGAGCGAAACTCTAATTCTATTTCCAAAATTAAAGTAGCCTAAGTTACTCCCTATAGCTAGCTGGTTAGCTAGCTAGCATTAGCTATCTGCCAGTGAAAGTATCGTCAAAATCAGCCCAGCCGTTTCAGAAATTAACCGGAACAAACAGACAGACAGACAAAAATTAAAAAAAATGTGTTTTTCTTTTAAATAGCGCATATAAATTCATAAGCATTAAGTGAAAAGCTTTTATTTCGTCTTGACAAACAGACTCTTCAATTTTATTTATCTGTATAGTATAAGATTTTTTGTTAAGTAAATTTTGTTAAATAATATTTTATAAAAATATTTTTACATATATATTTTTTTAAGTTAATCAACAATTTTTAATGTATATTTAATAATAAGCTCAATAAAATGTCTCAACTCGCCGGACAGTCAGATAGATCTCTAAGAAGATATATACCTACATAGATAATGTTCCGGCAAAAGGGACGAGTACAAGAATCCGAGGGGTCGTAAGTGCATTCAAAGCTTTATAACCTTTAAAAGATAAGAAAATCTTGGGAAAATTATTCTATAACGTACTTAAGAATAAAGTTTTAACATAATTTTTCAATTAATTGAATTCATCAAGTACTTCAAGTTTGTTATATCGTATTTTCCTCTTAGGCAAAAGAAAGTAGACTGTGAATTAATCTAAACGTGTTTTATACTTCTGATTGTATTTCATTTCTCTTCGTTCCATTACAGATAAAATTAAATATAACGATACACGTTTTATTATATAAAAGTATAAAATAATATAAAAACACCAAAGCATTTTGTAAAATATTACTGTTCTTACAACTCTACAAATAGCTGAAACAATTAAACTAAGAAATGTCTCATAAAATTAAGCTTTTTAAGACTTCACATAAAGGACAGGATGCAGGCCAAGAACATAATGAATTATAGACCAAATTGAATTATATTGATAAACTAGCATTGCCCGCGGCTCCGCCCGCGTTCAGATGACCAAAAACCAAATTGTTAGGTTTTATATATTAGTATACTCTTACGAGTACAATGCAGTTTTTGTATTTTTTCTCAGAAATGAGATATTTTCCCGTGGTAAAAAGTATCCTATATGTTGACCCGGATAACCAGCTATCACCATACCAAATTTCATCAAAATCCCTCCAGTGGTTTTCCGGTGTTGTGGTAACAGACAGACAGACAAACAAAAATTCTAAAACTATAGATTTGGTGTCTATATCGATAATAATATTTTATTTTAATAAGATTTTCCAAAAAATATTGAATGTACAGATTCGGCTTAGTTACAATTTTATTATATGTATAGATTATTATACGTATTACATTATATGTATTATATTATATGTATTACATTATTACAATTTTATTATAATAACTGAATGTTAATATTATTCAGTTTTAAATTAAATAATTATGAATTAGTAAACGTTACTTTAACTAATTAAGCCAAAATGTACACCATCCGAATATTTTAAACATATTTAATAATAGTAGCAAATAAACAAGAAATATGTAACTTTATTGTAACAGTAAACAGGGCCTAGTTGGCGAGCAAAATTGTTAACTTTATGAGTACAGCGTACATAATATGCCGGCATTAAGCGTCAAGATCTTTTACACTGTAATTTCTAGCGATATATTTTCGTTTGTGGTTAGTAAAAGTTTCGAAAGGGTGATGCGACAAATTTTTGATGGTGCCTGAATGTTAGCGAGGTTCCATCACGTCGACATGGTTCGCCACTCCTGTGATTGATTGAACACAGTCGAGAACCAATTAAAGTTGTCCAGTACGCTGGAAGCCGTAAAATTTGCTAGATTAATTGGACAACCACAGTTTGATATGATAAATTGAGACGTAGACGTGAGCACAAGTTAATAAAATGACACTACAGACCGTTTTTCTGATGGGTCCGATAAGACTTTATAATTTATAAAGCAAAACAGTAAAATTTGGGACTGAAAATACTGTTATATTTATTTGTTTTTTTTATAGAGGACCCCCCTTTTTAACCGACTTCAAAAAGGAGGAGGTTCTCAATTCGACTGTATTTTTTTTTGTTTGTTACCTCAGAACTCCGTCATTTATTAACCGATTTGGACAATTTTTGTGTTGTTTGAAAGTGTATACTTCCAGATTGGTCCCATTTAAATTTCAAAAAAAAAATACGACCCCTAAGGATGGAAAGATAGCTAATTATGAATTTAACCTACTTCTAATTGTCATATTGACTGTAAACGGCTGTAAACACACCGACTTCTAAAATATTTGATTAGGTATGTATAGTAAATTAAAACTACCAATCAGTTAATTTTTACTTTTTAGTGCTTTTGTTTGAAGTCGGTTTTTATTTTTTTGTTAAAAAGTTTTTATTTTATAGGGACACCCTCGCTTTACTCGGGTTCGTCCCTAGGTACGTATATTAGTATACGTATATATATACATAGATAAGAAGAGTTTTATATCCCTTACTTGAAAAACATAAAAAAAAATACAGTCGAATTGAGAACCTCCTCCTTTTTGAAGTCGGTTGAAAATGATTGATTCCCCATACAAAATTTCATCTCAATCGGTTAAGTACATTTTTAGTTTATCATACATACAAAATTAAAAAAAATATGAATCTTGACAACAGCGCCACTTACCCGTTATAACTAAAACTAAGAATCATCCAATTGACCCCATATGTATTAAGCCACTATTTGATGGGGTAGAATAACGAACACACGCACACTGGATTTTTTATATAATAAAAGTATTACATAAAAATATTCACGAGCGGCTGTAGCTTTCGTTCAAATAACTTGAAACAACAAAGAAATTATGACGATGTGCTCAAACGTTTTAACGGGACGTTCCCTCATGCCGAGCTTCAGATCTTAGAAAAGGAGGTGAGGGAATAAAATGATACTCTTCTACAAAGTTCTCTAGTCGCTTGATCATTAAACTGTTTAAAAAACTCTATTGCAGAATTAAATTATAAATCTGAATCGGAATTGGTTTTTTGCTTAAGCTCGAGATTATGGTATTCCAAAAACTATAGCTTTATGATGACACTTTGTACGGGAAGTCAAGTTCAAATATCAAATTGTTTACGAGCTTATTCGATTTATGCTACGGTAAAGTATTAATCCATACTAATATTATAAATGAAAGTGTGTCTGTCCTTCTTTCACGTAGAAACGGGGTGAGGAATTGACGTGATTTTTTGCGTGGAGGACTGGAGAGTGACATAGGCTACGTTTTACCGCGGGAGATTATCTAATTCCCACGGGATAACACG